TATATATCAAATATATATATATTAAAATATTATCCTAAAAATGATTATCCTGTAAGTTGCATCATATTTTCCCTCTACTAAGTAATAATTTATTTTATTATTATATATATTAATTTTATTTATTACTTAATGGTTTATTGACTTTATTAATGTTTTTTTTTTCTTTTTAAATTAAAGACTAGGGCTGGGCTGTCAATATCAATATCTAATCATTATTAGTCGCTTGATATCTGATCAGAAAGCAGAATGAAACATTAAATATAAAATATAAAATAAAAAATATCAGTATCAATATCAAATTCAGTAAACTTAAATAAATAAATAAAGCATTCAATTATTTAATTGATATAAATTTAACTCTGGCAGCCCTAAAAATGTATGTTTTAAATCTTATTGTCTATTTTCCTGCTTATTGTGTTTTTCCTCTAAAATCTTCCATGAACCCAAACGCATTCCCCTTGTGGACTCGTTATTTATTTATTTGTTAATTTATTTGTTTATTTAATTTTTAAAAAGTAATTTACCTTTGCTATATGCATACTGGCACTTTGGATAGCCAGGTGAAGACCAGAGATCTGGTTTGGTAGTCTCTCATCCAGTCTGGCCTTTTTTGAGACCAACACTTAGAAGGCCTCAGCATTCCCCAGCTCTGCGGCTAGAAGCATATGTGTATCCAAGCTCATTACAACTATTAACATCCGCACCATGATCAATTAGCGCAGCTACAACCCCGTTCAAGTTCCTCCGTACCGCTTTAAAAAGAGCAGCGGTGATCTCATTCTGAGACATGGACTTCTGGACATACTGCAAAAACAGAGACAACAGAGACTTCCTGTTCAGCTCAAAAGCAGTGTCCATGATCACAGAGTCCACCTGTGCTCCGGCCTTCAACAGCACGCCGGCAGTTTTCTCATTTCCGTGCCGAACAGCGTGATAGAGAACCGTCTTCCTTTGGCCATCTCTAATATCTACTAAAGAGCCGTTTCGCAGAAGAACCTCTGCCAGTGTTGCGTCATCCTCAATGGCAGCCATGTGCGGAACAGTTGTTTGATTCTTGAGGCTTTTCTTCTCCTCATGCACTAGAGCTTTGACCGTACTTTCGTGTCCATTTTGAACAGCCAGATGCAAAGGAGTCTTTGACATTAGGTCAGTAGCATGGATGTCCGGTCCGCACCAGCCTTCGCAAGGGCCAGAGCAACAGCAGTATGGCCTCGTTCTGAAGCTCTGTGCAGGGCAGTACGACCCTCCCTGTCCTTCAGGTTCAGTTTCGCCCCTTGTCTGAGCAGAAAGTACACAATGTGGCCTCTTTACCATGTTCAGCAGCGAGGTGCAGCAGAGTATCAGTGGATGAGAAAGCAGTATTGACATCCAATCCTCTGAGAAACTCCTGGAGGAGATATAGATCACCTGAGGATACGGCTTTGAGGGTGGCATCATGCTCACTTTCAGATTTGGGGATTTGTTTGATTTGTTCTGTTGAAGATGTAGCCTTATTCGTCAGAGACTTCGGTTGGATTCTTTCAGGAGTGAGTTCCTTGTTGGATTTTGCGTATTTGACAAGACCTTGCTTGTCCTTCTCCAGCAGATATCCTATCAGCTGTCTCCGTGCATCTCTAATGCCCTCATTAACTCCACCTACATAAGTTCTCATGTGCTGGTAAAGGTCAGATTCCACTCGTTTCAGATAAGATGCGGCAGGCACGCTCTCCTCTTGAGATCAAGATGTTTAACATCCTGGAGTTCTTTTCCTCTCGTGAAGAGATGCTGGACATCAGTGTTCGGCTGTCGGGTTGAAGAACGCCATTTGAAATGAGGAGATCCAGCAAATCTTCTGTATTCGAAATGCCACTCACCAGCTCGCTCTTCTTCGTCCGAATTACTTCGATCGCATAAGGATTGGTAAAGCTGGTTGAACCCATGCCAGCCTCTGAAGGAAAGCAGTGAGCTTTGGTAAAGCAGAGCTGTTCCTGAAAGAACTTCATTCTCTATGTCTTTATCACTAAGAACAAATTGTATCTTGGCAACAAAATATCAAGTAAACAAAAGTAAAAATCAGCATTACGATTTGTAACGTCCTGATACAAATGATTAATGTTTAAAACCATGAAGCAATAAAAAGCACATTGGTGATCTATCTTGGTAATTACATTTTATTTTTATTTTTTTTATCAAATGCACAGTCAATTTCTCTGTTTAGATTTCAGGCCTTATCTAATATTACAAGAGACCTGCTACATGGATACTGTAACCATGACCTGGATTGCCTTTTGTATTTGAGTTTATAGTGTTAGAACAACAGTGCCATTTTTCAGATATTACCACCCTTGTGAAAAAGAAGTGAGCTCAATTGTATTTAATTTGCACTTGTAATAATACTTCAAATTAATCAAATATAAGAGGCCACCTAAGTGTACTTAAAGTACACTTTAAATTTTTTTCAATCATCTTTTGCATTTATTTTGATGTGTTGTCTAAGATACAAAGCACTTTAAATACTAGTAAAATACTTGATTACCATTTTCATTTTAGTGTGCTATCCAATTACATTTAAAGTTAATATGTTTTAAATGTACTAAATTGCAACATCATCATTATGTGTAACTACAAATACATTTACTTAGACCTACTTAAGTGTTCAGGTAATTGCATATAATAGAAATTATATAATATATAATAATATATATATATATATATATAGGCTATGCTTTTTTTCGCTATGTTGTTGTCATCTTAACAGAGAACATTTACTGCCTTTAATATACTGTAGATTTAGTTTTTACACTTAGTTTACACTTTCAACTTAAACCAATATATGTGCATGACCACATGCCATTGTGTAACCTAATTGTACTTTAAGTAGCTATAAAAGCAGGTCGCTTTTCAGTGACTTTGCTCATATTTAATTGTTAACAGAATATATGCATTCTAGGAAAGTCCTTGCTTCACTTTGCGTTCTTGTATTTTGATCATGCGTTGGATCAATGATCAATCCCCTCGTTCCCAAAACTAAAAGTGCACTAAAGGTCTGTCTGTCAGTCTTATGGAGATTAGTCCGAGGCGAGGAGTTCCTCTTCCCGTAATACACACCCACTGCTTCAGATGACGTAGGTCTTCCGACCGCGCGCTTGCCTAATATGGAGAGCTAGGTGCCGATTTTCCGGTATGATGTCATCGTTTGCCAAGTTTGGGCAGTGAAATAAGAGGATCTAAAAGATGCTGAATATTAATCTGTGTTGGTGACCTGAATATGAAATTAGAGTTGTATTTGCCTCCTTTGTGTGTGTGTGTGGTGACACACGTCAAAAAATAAAGAAAAAGAAAACGAGGCAATACAGGCTTGCGATCATAAGTGCGAATTAAAAACATTTCATATGTATTTGACTAACGAGAGATCAATTATGATCATTTTATGCATGTATATTATAGTCTTTAATTTAATATACTTTTTTGAGATATTTTAGGTGAATATAAATGCTGATATATTTCACCCCCTGTCATGTATTCTATTCAAAGAAGACTGGTTCCTTTGGGCGTTTAGTCAAGCAGAAGTGAAGTCTCTGAAATCCCCCATCACTGCTCTGAGCAGAATCCAAGAAACTGAAATCACAAAAGAAACTCGTCGTCTATCCAAGGGGCTGCTTCAGAGAAATCCAGGGTTTCTCTTTGCTTTTTAAGGATGTACTGTTTGGCTTCTTTAATAGGCTATACAAAAAGTATAATATAAGTAGTAAATATTTTATTATTAACCTATTATTACTTCTTGCAAAATTTCATATACCGCAGTAAATTCACTCATCAAAATCCTTTATTTATTGTTTTTAAAAAAAGAGGTTCAACAGTATATCCAAACTATTTCATCTTCCAAGAATCTTAAAGGTGTTAAAACAATTTATTTCATCTTATTAATTTATTTTGTTAAAGCTTTCGTTTTGTATTATTTATTTATTGTTTACATGTTTAAATGGTGCTTTGCATGTGACGCCACCTCTTTGTACGTAATGTTGATATTTTATGTACTATTATTATCTTTCGTACCTTGGCATTAATAAAAAAACAAAAACAAATGGGGCTGCTTCAGATTTACCGAACGCAAGCCGACGGCGCCCTCTGCTGATGCAGAGGATTGCTGCTGAAATTGTTTAATGAACACTTTTGTAGGCAAACATGCACGAACCATAGAGAACTTTATTTTTTTAGTCGACACAATAATGTGCCAATGATTAAAATGAATACTTTGTTTCAACAATTTACTTCTACATTGTATGATGATGACTGTTTGTTAGATGCGGTGTTATTGCATTTGAAAGTTAATCATTTCCCTCTTTTAATATTTTTATATAATTTAATTTGACATTTCAGCCAGATCAGATTCAGAATACATACTGTCATTATTAGGCTACTACTGAATAACTATTATGGGTTTAATTGTTGTTTTTGACTTTTTTTTTTTTTACATGCTCTGCTTGTATATTCAAACCTGTGGATTTTGCCAAACAAGCAGTCTCTCCCAAAACATGTTACTACAAGTTTGTCTTGGTGAACACACACACACACACACACACACACATACATCCGAACTCCATTAGGACAACAGAGACAGTTTTTCGTTTCACATACTTTATTACAGTTCATAAATATTGATTAGTTTCTGATGTGCTCAGAAAACAAACATAAAAAAAGTATATTGTACTTTACAAATGGTAAACTTAAGTACTCCGGGTTGATCTTATTTACAAATAACAATGAGTGAAACCTCATTAATGAACTTTTTCAGAAAAAAAGAAACTGCTGAAGTTGGACTAACTAAAGGAAAAAGTAAATTCCATTCAGTTTAAGAACAAAAAGTACAACATGTAACTCAGAAGTCAGGCAGCTTTTATCAAACGTTTAGCGGACACAACTTTCTGCTTGGTGAGCCAGACATTTACATCCCTATTGTACGGCAGTCACGTCCCCTGTTTTACTCCTATATAATACTGAGCGCTCCTTTGAAGCGTATGGGTCCATGCACAACCTGGTCGAAGTGAACAAGGATAAGTCTATTTTCTCGTCAGAAAGTAAAGCGTGTAACAGAGTGAGTCTCATGCCCTCTGTCGCTGTCTCTGTCGGACCGATTTCGTGAAGTTTTGCACTCCCCAAAAGTCCAGTCAGAACATCTTTTTACGGCACGCGGCCGGTCCCCGCGGGCTAATGCCAGCAGTTGCGCCGGCTCGCAGACATCTAGCCCCTGAACTTTGTCCCTTGCGTCTATTAAAGTGAACTCAAATGTCCTTCGGTTCTTCTCAGAACGTCTGCAGCTGTTGCGTCAACATAAGCTGGCAGCCGCTGTTGACGTGGTTCATGACTTTCTGCTTGAGCTGGGCCACTTGCTCGCGCAGCATGTTTGCGGTGGACGCCAGCTCGGAGTTCTGGGACTTCAGGTTCTTGACTTTATCCTCCAGCCGGGAGATCCTCTCCAGTTTCCTCTTCCGGCATTTGGACGCGGCGACCCGGTTCCTCATGCGCTTTCTCTCGGCTTTAATCCGCTCCTGGCTCTCCATGTCGATGGGGGAGAGAGGTGGCGTCTCGCCGGGCATCTCAGGCACCGTTTGGGGCTCCTCCTTCAGCGCCTGAAGCCGCGGGTGCTGGACGGTGTGCTGCGGCGGGGCGCTGGTGTAGTTCATCGCGGGGTTGGCGGTGCTGATGGCGGGGTTGAAAGTGTTCAGGTCCGCGTACACTGGAGGGTCGGAGCGCATGGAGGAACTGTACACCGCGCCGCCTGCCATGGACGAAACGGGTGCCATGCTGTTGTTGATGGTCGTCTGGGGAGCCGAGGTGACGCTGGGCATGTGCTGGTGATGCAGCTCGGCCAGTGCCCTCACGAAGCCATCCGCGAAGCCCTCCTGTTCGTCCGTCACGTTCCTGGGACACAGAAACTGGGTCGGAGTCGGCGTTGTAGTGATCAGGCCGTTGCTGGACTGGATGATGAGCCGCTCCAGCTCCGGCGAAGCCAGTTTGAGCAGCCCCACGTCGGGGGAGGTGAGGATGTCGTTGGCTTTGGCCCTCAGGTGGGGCTTCAGGTTGCCGGCTGGGTCGGTCAGATTCAGCGTCATGTTATGTTTCAGAGCCTTGTGGTTGTATCCAAAAGTAGCGCTGACATGCTGAGAGAAAGCGCTGTTTAGAGAGTCATCGTAGAAAGTAGTTTCCATCTTGGTAGACATAGAAGAGAAAACGAAACTTTTTAGTTCAAAAGTAGTCTTTCACAAACTCAAGCAGTGTCCGCTTTCAGAAACGAGCGCCGCGCTCTCAGAGACAAAAGCGAGAAGAATCGCAAAGTTCGTAAACTCCCCCGTCCCGCGAGAAACTTACTGCGTAAAAGTTATCGCGCAGCGTCCCGAACTCTTCTTCTTCTTCTCGCGGACAGAGCTCCTCTTCCACCGCCGCGCGGCTCAAAGATGCCAGTGGACAAACAGCGCTGAGCCGAAAAGTTGTCTTGTTTATTTAAGCTCAAGCTGTGTTGCCTAGATGTTTCACTGTGGCGAGATCTGTATACTCTGAGCTTCTCCAGCGTGGAGGCAAACCTTATCTGCTACCGCTGCCCCACTAAAAATAGCAATGATGTCATGCGCGCCGTCTCTTATTGGCTGGAGGCGATTTACTGGGCGTTCCACAATTTCAGATAAGGCGCGTTGCCTAGACGACCACCCAGAAGATTCATCTCGCGGTGGCTGATGGGATGAGGTAATGCTGTAAGTCGACGATGCGGTGCATTGTGGGATTACGTATTGTTTTTGAATATCTGGTTACCCGCTTAGCTGTTTTAGACCGTGGCAGTGGCGGGATACAAAGAAGCCGAGTTCTGTATAGCGTGCTACTTTATAACGCAAACTTTCACTTTAATATACGTCACGAGGTCTCGTTTGAGAAGAAGTGAGTGCGTGCGTTTGAGAGTTGGGCAATTTCACTCGTGAGTTTCACAAGACTCAGCCGTCCGTCCAGTAATAACATGTGAACGGTCAGCTTTGATATAAATGGGAGTTGTTTAGATAGGTTAAGATACACGTTCACGTGGCGCGAAGAAACAGGGCAATAGTCTGGTGTTTTATGGCAAAGTGCATTTGCTCCGTCATCAGCCAATGGTTTTGAAAAGGGGCGTGTCTTATTGTGGAGTGACAGCGTGCCACCAGGTCCATCGGCCGTCTCCGTGACAGTCCCTAGAGATCCTCTCAAAAGTACACACACCCGTCTTAAACGTCACTGTTTAAACCACAACCGCAAACTACTCGAATTCAACGTGACTATCGCTAAGTGACATTAAAGAATGATTCATTTTACTTTGGGATATTTTCAATTGGTTTTCATGAGTTTTAAGCCTATGCAAAGATGTAATTACACTTTTATTTGCATTTAGTAATGAGATGGAAATTACTAGTATGTTTGTAGCTATAATTGTTACTGTAACTATTACATAAAAGTATCTCTGATTCTACAATTTCATGTAGGAAAACCACGAATAACAAAAGCAATCTGAGCGATAGTGCATGTATGAAACCGGGATAAGATCGTTTTTACTGACCACCAGGACTTGACGATGGTCTCTGGCACGTTTCACTTTGTTGGGACAGATCAAGTGGTCGAGCACGTAAACATGACATTAAGCGTCACTCAATACAAATTATGGACTTTAATACACAGACTATTCTTGTTCTCTTTAGTTTAACACTCACTATAATTATTTTGTCCAAATATATTGATATATTGATGCTCTGATATTATTTCTATCCAAATTCAACATAAAACAATTTAGGAACCATCCGTTTTTTTTTATTTTTTAGTTAGAATATAATTATTTATTTTAGTGAACATACCCACAGTGCATTTAGAACAAATCTAAGATACAAATAACAGTCAATATGCAATGCATTATGATGATGATTATGATGATTACCAAATATATGAACTAACCAATATTTCAAAGTGAAGAAAGAGCCAATTTATACTTCTCAATTTAATATTTAGATTTTTTTTATTTTATTATTTAATTAAAATGTCATCTCAATTTGTACTTCAGTTTTCATGAGTCAAAGGAATTAGATGTGACTTTTGGATGGATTATGCAATATTTACTGTCAGATTTAATGGAATTTCTATTGGGTTTTTAAAAATCTTTTATCATTCATAGTTCAAGTGCACAAAGGTCAGATGAGAGTTTTATTGTAAATTAAAGGTCATGACCAGATCGAAGCATCCTGCATCCTCTTTCTGATCACCACACATGTCTGCATCACTAATGCAGGCAACAGGGGATGTCCAGAGTTACGACAGAGAGAAGTCATCTTTGTTTTTGTACCACACAGAAACTTGTTTGGGCAGCACAACCCAGACCAAACGTAGAAAACGGCAGCTTGCCTGTGAAACCAGTTCCTCTTTGCTTGCTTCTTTCCTTTTTTTTAGCTTTCCTTGTCACCTTTCTTACTATCGTACTTTGTTATGTGTTAGGTATGTTACGAAATCCAGGTGTACATTTCCTTTTTAAGTCTAATGTGTGCAGTGCTGTTTTTATACAGTCTATGATGCAGTGTCATCCAGTCTACTGTTTATCTTAAACTGACAGTTCGTCACTATCACCTGCTTTACCGAACATAAACTGTACTACAACTGCAGTGTAGAGCAGTTACATCTATAGTGTAGACAGTAACTCTTAATATCAATTTTCTATATTTTTATATACATTTTTCTGCATATACAAGAATCTTAATGTTTATGTCATTACTACTTATATCTTTCAGTGTCTGAGCCACCCAGGTAGAGGCTGGTACATGGACAGTGCCCTTGCACACATGGAAAAAGCAATTATTTATGCATCAGTGTATATACTATAATCTTTAATATGGCTTTTTGGTTAATATCAGATATCCATGGACTGTGCATGGTGTGTTTTCTTTGACATGCGGCCTGTCGTTATTTGCAGTAACTTAGCCTCTGGCCGCCCAGTCGTCTCAGCAGTGGTCCGTCCGTCTATGAGGAGGGTCTTGTGTAAATATGGCCCAGTCACCCGCCTCTGAGACGGTGCTGTAGTAATCGCCCTCCGCCGCATGCTGAATTTGTGAAAACTGAACACAGCGCCGGATTCATACAAACATACATGTTCACTCAGCTGTAATTTGCTGTGTTGTTAATCAGGTTAAAAAGAGTTTAGTTTTGTTAAAGGGTGTGTTCGCTTCACTTTCTAAATCAGCCGTGTTTTCCATTACCATTAGTAGAATGGGAACGTTTTGTTTAGAACTTTTAGTTCTAGTTTTGTCTAGAACTTGTTCGTCCATATATAACATCCAGTTACATTCTGTTCTTGGTCACGCCTAATAAGGAAATAAATCCAAAAGTATTGTAATTAAATGCTTAGTGCATTCTTGATATAATGTTTTATTTGCACACCTAATATTCCTTTTTATATATATATATGTATTTTAATCCATTGTCTTCATTTTTTAAATTTACTTTTTACTTAGAAATATGATATTGTTTTACAAAATATATTGGTGTCATCTTATTTGTCACTAAACAATATATATATATTTACAACATTTAAGTCTTTGTCAATTTTAGTTAATAATACATTTGTTCATTGTTCGTTCATGTTAGTTCACAGTGCATTAACTAATGTTAACAAATACGACTTTTAATTAAAAAAATGCATTACTAAATATTTAAATTAACATTTACTATGACTAATAAATGCTGTAGAAGTATTGCTCATTGTCAGTTCATGTTAACTAATGTAGTTAGCATATGAAACCTTATTGTAAAGTGTTGCCAGGATATGTAGACTATTAATTATATTAAATAATCAGAATAATCAGTTATAATTGGTCAGATGGTCCATTCAGCGGTCTGACATGTCCTAACCATCGTCCATGTATCCAACCTGAAAATCATGCGAATGAGATTCTACAAATTCATACGAATTAACCAACTTGCCAAGATGAAAAATTACTAATTGCATTGAGACTGTATAGGGATATCAGACTTCTCATCATGATAACATATATTTTCAGGACACCGGTGCTATTTTTATATCTCTTGACGGACTTGCTGAGTCTCATTTCAAACAAACAAACTGTCTTCTTGTGTCCCAGTTTTTGATGTTTTAGAGATGATTAACATTAGACCTGTAATTTTGTTGCAGTGTTTGTCTTGTTGTATGACATTAAAACGGACTATTTTCTTCTTAGCAGTTGCTTCAAGAGAATATTCAGGTAAAATTATATAATAATATAATAATTTTATATAAATGAACCGTTTTCTTTAGCACCAGAGCCGCTGTGCATTTAAGTTTGTGAATCATGTTATATCTGAGCCAAGCGGAGCTTGAGGAACAGCTGCCCGGTCATGTCCTCTGCCCCGCTGCGCCCTGCTCTGTTTTAATGCCAGTCTGTCCGATCCCTCATAAAAGCCCATTGTGGTCCCAGGCCTGTCACTATGTGTCTGTAATTAGTGTTCTGTAGTTCATTGCCCTCGAGCCCATGGTCAGAAATCACTAGGGTCCTAATGGAGGGCTGGGCAAAGGTCACAGAGTAATCCTGTCATATCCAACCCATTGTCAGGAGTCCACAGCCATCTTAACGGCGTCTCCTGCCTCAGAGTCAGACTAAATCACAGTACTGGCGCTAGCTGGACAGACTCAAAGAGCACACTGGACAGGTAAGCCTGTGGGGCTCGTAGCGTTTTTTGTGGAAGAGAATAAGCTGTTTTATGGATCACGGCTCAGTAATGACCTAATTTTTAGGGATGCTTGCCTTATTATTGCTCATGATTAGGGTCAGGGGTTTGTTCTAAATCGACTGAGCTACAGACATGAATGATACATTAAAGTTTGCAGCGTGTTGAGTAGAAATTTGCTATTACTTTTAAGACTTCTGATTTTCACTTTTTACCCATGAAAAAAACGATAAAATGGACATTTTAAGATGGACTTATGATTTTGTTTTTTGACATTTTTCCAACCTCAACCCAGAATTATTATTTTCAACAACAACAAAAAGTATATATATATATATATATATATATATATGTATATGTATGTGTGTGTGTG